CAAAGCAGGACTGATTCCCCCGAGAGCCCGAGGGCAGCAGGACCCCCTCAGGGCCTGCCGCTCAGGAACAGCAGCCGCTTAGTGCAAAAGGAGGAACTCCTAGAGATCCTGAGGACGGTTCACTCTGGGAGGAAGGTCAGGGAAGGCGAAGTCACTGTTGGGCTGGTGAGTTGGGGGGGACCGACTTGGAGCCGGGCTGCTTGTCCCTCCTCTGGCGCTGCGGGGAGGAGCCTTTGCGCCAGGCCTGCCTCTGTGCCAGCCGCTTCCTCCCTTCCTCTCCCTAGGTGGGCTACCCCAACGTCGGGAAGAGTTCGACCATCAACACCATCCTGGGCAAGAAGAAGGTCTCTGTGTCGGCCACGCCGGGTCACACCAAGCACTTCCAGGTACTGCCTGGCTGACCGGCTCTGGAGGGTATGGCTGCTGCTGCTGCTGCCAGGCTGGGAGGGGCAGGGTAGTCCTGCAGGGGGCCCCACTTCCATGGGAGGAAGTTTCTGCACCTGCCAGAGCAGCTCCCTTGCCTTTGGGGAAATTCCAGCTGTGGCAAAGTAGACGTGGTTCCCAGCCCACAGGCCTCCCCATCTCCTAGGAGCAGGTTAGGAGGGCAGTGGGTGGGGTGGGGTGGGCCCCCAGAGTCTCTGCTCTTGCCTTCTTCCTGGGACTCCTGCGCTTGTGCCCCCTCCTGCAAGGAGTCCGGAGTCCTGCCGGCCTCTCATCCTGGCCTTGCCCTCCTCCTTGCTGCTGCCAAGGCACCTTCCCAGTTTTTGATTTTACCTTAAGGAAGCAGAGCAGGAGCCTGGCGGGGAGGCCAAGGAGAGTCTCCAGGGAGTGGCGGGGCGCAGCATGGGAGCCGGGCCAGGACCTTCCGGCAACCCTAGCTGTTCTCTCCCTGCTTGGCGCTTGGTCCTCCATAGCTGCCTGCTCTGGCTCTAGGGGCTGGTACCTGAGGGGAGCCGGAGCTGAGCGCCTCTGCTGTTCCCGCCCCCCTGTAGACACTGTAACGTGGAATCCAGCGCTCTGCCTCTGCGACTGCCCTGGCCTGGTGATGCCCTCCTCGTCTCCACCAAGGCGGAAATGATCTGCAAGCGGGATCTTGCCCATCGACCAGATGAGGGACCACGTTCCCCCCGTCTCTCTCATATCCTTTGCTTTTTTCTGGGGGGTGGGTGGGAATAAACTCAGTCAGTTCTCCATCTGCAGAGCAGCAAGTCTGGCCAGGGTCCTCCGCTTCAGCCCTGGCCCCAGACAGGAGTTGGACTATATTGGGGTGGGGGCTTTCTAGTCGCCTTGAGTTCCCCTCAGTTGCCTTTGGGTAGCTTTGCCGGGAAGGGCAGTTGTTCAAACTGAGACGAGCAGGAGGATGGGCACTGCCACCTGCTCCCCCTCACAAAGACAGGGCACCTCCTGATCACTGCTGTTTTCAGAAAGTGCCCCTCCAGATGCAGCAGGGGGGCAGGGCAGAGAGGGCCAGCCTCAGTTGCAAGGGAAAAGAGCTGTCTTGGGGGGTGAGGAGGGGCAGCTGCCCAGGTGGGGGCCTGGTCTCGCTTTGGGCACCAAACCTTCTCCCCCCTTCCCCACCCCCCGCCCCTGCTTTCCTTCACTGGCCCCACGGTCTGCTCAGCGCATCCCCCGGCGGTCCTGGAGGCCACCTAATGGGCATCAACATCATCCCGGCTCGAGAGGACGAGCCACCGATCGCCGGCCCACGTCCGAGGAGCTGCTGACGGCCTACGGATGTGAGTTGCCGCCCTGCGAGGGGCTGCCGCTGGGGTTTGGCTCCCTCCGAGGGGCTGCTCCTCCTTTGGCTCAGGAAGGGCTGACTTGATTAGGGATTTTGAAAAGTAACTTCTGTATAGCGTTGTCTCAACAAAACATAAAACGGAACACTAAAGATCCTGTCTGTCTGTCTACTGGGACAAGGGCCCTGCAAGATCTGATTTCTTTCCGCTGGGCTTGTAAGACAGAGTTGTTCCGCCTGGCCTTTGGCTTGGAATCAATTTGATTCCCTCCCCCTCTTTCTTTTTCCCTTTCTCCTTCTGTGATAGAACTCCTATTTGGGGACTTCCCTGGCTTTTATCTGGCTCATGTAGGACCAGTCTGGAAAGTTAGCCTTGGTGAAGACTTGACGTTTTTATCCCCCAAAAAGTTTTTGAGTTTCCACTGAAATGAGGCTGCATTTTAATGTTTTAATGTTGTATTTTAATCTTGTTTTCTAAGCTGTATTTCATTCAATTGTTTTTATATATGGTGTTAGCTGCCCTGAGCCCAGTCTTGGCTAGGAAGGGCGGGTTATAAATTATTATTAATAATATTATTATTATTATTATTATTACAAAGTTAAAAGTGGACCACGGGATGTCTTAGCCGCCTGCATAGGCCTGGTGGAAGAGAACCCTTTTCAGCAGCGCTTAGGCGTTGGCACAGAATCCCCTGGCGCAGAGAGCCCTTCTTCTGCCAGAGCTGCTCCGGCTCATTTCTGTGGCAGCTTGCCCCGTCCCCTCCATACAAACATCAGAAGAGCCTGCAGCTGGATCAGGCCCAAGGGGACCCATCTCATCCAGCAGCCTATTTTCCCAGGGGCCACCCAGATGCCCACAGTGGGGAGCCAGGGAGCAGAATGTGAGCACAAGAGCAGCAGCAGCAGCTGGTATTCAGAAGCATGGCGGCCTTCAGCCGTGGACGTGGCACATAACGGCTGTGGCCAGGAGCCTTCAATAGGCATCTCCTCCATGAATTCATGGAATCCTCTTGTAAAGCTGTCCAAGTGGGTGGTCATCCTGCAGCAGGGAGTTCCAGGGTTTCACTCTGCGCTGCGTGAAGAAGGAGATTGTCTTATCGGTCCTGAACGGTCCTTTCAGTTTCATGGGTTGCCCCTGAGTTCTCGTGTCAGGAGAGAGGGAGGACACCTTTTCTCTATCTGTGTTCTGCATGCCATGCCTAATTTTATAGAGTTCTATCATGTCGCCTGATACTTGCCCTTTCTCTAAGCTAAAAAGTTCCTTGTCTCTTTCCTCCCTCCCTTCCGCCTGGCCCAAGACATGAGAGGCTTCATGACGGATCATGGGCAGCCTGATCAGCCCCGCTCGGCCCGCTATGTGCTGAAGGACTACGTCAGTGTAAGTGCTGGGGACTCCTGAGCCCCTGCCTCAAGGCTCTCGGGAGGAAGGGGGCGTGCTGGAAATGGAGTAAATGAATGTGTCCTGGGGGGGGGGGAGATGGAATCCTTACCTTCTCCATGTCCTGACTTTCATTTCTCCCTCTCCTGCTGCCTGCCTCTCCCCCCGCCCCCCCCGTTTTCTCACAGGGCAAGCTGCTCTACTGCCACCCGCCTCCTGGCACTGACCCCCAGGACTTCCAGTTGTGTCACGAAAGATGCCCCTTGCAGAGCAAGGCCGGGCAGCGTGAGGCCGGGGGGCTGCCTGGCAGGAGCCCCAGAGCAAAGCAGATAGAGAATGTGGTGGACTCTGCCTTCTTCCACCAGGTCAGGGGCTGTGTGCATGCAGGCGGGGGTCGGGGGGGGGGGACGGGACAAACCAGGCACCCGCTCTGCTCCAATGCCTGCTTGGGTGAAATATAGTGCACCTGGTCAAATCCTGCTTGGCCTCTTGGGCTGCCCCCTGCCTTCCTCTTTGCCCACACAACTTGGCCTCTTGGCTCCCCAGGTGGGCCTGTGCCCCCCATGACACCTGGAGGCTCCCCTTGACACGGCCTGCCTCTTTCTCCCAGGAGAACGTCCGGGCCCTGACCAGAGGCAGCCAGTGCCTGATGGGCAACCGAGCGGGAGGCCCCTCTTCCGCGACTGGTGCTGAGGACGCCCGAGGCAAACCCTGGAAGAAGCACGGCAACAGGAACAAGAAGGAGAAGATCCGCCGCATCACCAAGCACCTGGAGGCTTGACTCTGTGCGCCTCTGCCCCTCTCTGGGCAGGATCTTACCTCCACCAGAGAAGAGAGGCCAGAAGAGGCGCCCCTCCCCTGTGGCTGAGCCCATGGGCTGGACTCCCCCCTCCCCATTGCAGGGGACTGTCCCTTGGCGGGCCTGACCAAGGAGAGGCCCTCCGGCCCTGTGAGGCTCTCTGGTCAAAAGCGCCTGGAAAGAGGAGGAGGAGGAGCTTGGCACCCACTTCACCTCGTGGCCCAAGCCTGGAGCAAGAGGCCGTTCTCCACTTGCTGGCAATAAATGTTTCTTACCTTTGCCATCCTTGTCTTTCTGCAAGTGTGGCAGGTAGATCAAGATGCGACCCTGTCCTGTCCTGACCATTCAGGTGCACTTTCTGACACCCCCCCCCCATGGCACCAGACCCCCTCGCAGCCACTGTTTCCAGAACCCTTGAGAAAGGGCCGCTCCAAGGCTTCTCAGAGGGAAGCTCTTATTCTGCTTTGCCAGGCTGAAGGGACTCCTTTCTGGGCACTGCCCATTCCCGCCTGGCTTCCGGGCAGGACTTCCAGTTCTTTCTTTTTGGCCTGTGAAAAGGGCCCCCTCTGCCACCCAGCCTTTCCCCCCAGACTGTTTTGCAACCTGCCAGGGGTCCTGGGCCATCCAGCTTGGAGAGGGGCACCTCCAGAGCCAGATGGTTTTCTCCCAACGGATTCCAATGGCAAAAAAGGAAATTCCCACTAAACACCCAGAATAAATTTCTGGCGGTGCGAACTGCTAAACAGGAGAACAGTCTCTCTCAGGAGGGGGTGGGCTCCCCTTCCTCGGGGGTTTTAAAGCAGCAGTGGGATGGCCATCTGTCAGGGATTCTTTAGCTGGGATTCCTACATTGCAGGGGGCTGGACTAGATGGCCATTGGGGGTCCCGCTCTGCAATTCTGGGATGATGGGTGCTTTGGGCAGCAGCAAAGGAAGAGGAGCGATGCATCTCTCTACAGCTGGAGGAGACTCAGCCCTTCTCCGGCAGGAGAGGGTGCTGAAGGCCGAGGCTTGTGCAGGGGGGGGGGGCTTTGGGTGCGCAAACAATCCTTGGAGCCATGCTTGGATTTGTGGGCAGCAGGGCCCCACCGTTGATGCTCAGGGGCCAGGAGGGCAGGAGCAGATACCTGGCCCTCCTTTGCTTCCTCTCCTCCTTGCCAGCCCGGTCGTGAGTTGCAAACCCGCCTTGGAAGCCCCCTTCCTTCCTTGCAGTGGGGGGAAATGCCTTCTGCAAGTTCTCCTCTCCTTGGCTGCCTGGCATGGGCATGGGATATGGAGGGGCATCAGGGCTTGTGGCAGCTGCTACTGCTGGCAGTTCCTTTCCCTTTTCAGCCTAGTGGGAATTTGTGGGGTGGTTGTAGGGACGACATGTTACTGAGGTCCATCAGAGAGGGAAGAGCGTTGCGTTTTTCAAATGAGCAGGGCCTTTTTTTGGAGCTGCTCCCAGTTGCCTTTGCAGGCAAGACTGGCAGGGGGCTTGTGCTGGGAAGCCGGAGGTTCAGTCTGGGTGGGAGCGGAGGAGGGAGCTGGTTCTGGGTCCCCCTCCCCAGGGGGTTACGTATGCCAGGCTATTTGGGGGGCAGTTTTAAGAAGCACTTTTCTGCGGGCGAGGGAGTGGCAGTGCAGAGGGTGGGGGGGCCCAAGGAGATGGGGAACTGGGAAGTATTGCCCCTTTTTCAACATGTGCCTGGGAGGGGGCATTCTGTGGGGAACTGATGCTTCCATTTTAAAAAAACAGAACAATGTAATAGCAACCTTGGGGATCTCTCCCCATTTCTCACTTGTGGGCAATTCTTTGCCTAAATCACATTCCTGCTGCAAAAACTGTGGCTAGGAAGCATCTGTGGTGGTTCCTTTTTCACCACACGGGGGCACCTTTATTTAGGTATTAATCAGGAGAGAACTTCAAAGGTCTGCAGTGTTACGGGAATGCTTTGCGAATGAGCCTCAAAGCTAACTTCTGTTAATCAATCTGGAGTAAAAAGATGGGTTGTTGTTTTTTTTGTTAGCTTCCAGACCCACCCCCCACTTTGACTGTTAAAAGACACCCAGAGCAGGAGGAGTTGGAGGGGGTCCCAGGACTCATCTAGTCCAACCCCCTGCAGTGCAAGAATCTCAGCTACCAGGATGACTGTGCTCCTTCCACGATGTGCCAATGTGGCCTGGCTTCTGGGAGTCGCCATCGCAGCCTGTTGTGCTCCAGTTCTGGGCTTTTCCCCTTTGGAGCATCTGCCTGGACACTGTAACCGGAGGCTGGACTGGATGAGGTCCTGCTTGGCCCCATCCTGCTGCTGCTGCTGCTGCAGGGCTCTTTTGGGAGGTCCGCTCCCTTCCTCCTCCTCCTCTGCACCCACAGCAGCTGGGCGGGCGAGAAGCCCATTGATCCCTGCCGGATGCCCTCCTGGGAGGCCGGGCTGATAAGAGGCCCCTCCAGTCCTAGCGGCAGAGATGGATGTCCCGGCCAGCGCCTCCCGGCAGCAACAGCAGCAGCAGCAGCAGCAGCGAGGGCCAGTGGACAATGGAGCAGCCGGGAGCCTCTCTGGAGAGAGGAAGTTCTCCTCCTGAATTGGCTTTTCCTATGCGATAAGGGAGCGCACAGTCCAGCCAGCGTCTCCAGGCAAGGCAGCCTCCGTGGCGGAGCTGTGGAGGGCTCTCTGGAAGGGGCACAGGTTGCGGGGCCTGGGTGGGGAGGCCTTTGCTTGCGGCTCAGCAGGATCTTCACGTTGCGCTTTGCCTGGGGACTGTGAAACAGACAGAGCAGCTTGGTGGGTGGCATCCATTTTGCTAGTCATACAATCATGGAGTTGGAAGGGACCCCAAGGGTCATCTAGTCCAGCCCCCTGCAATGCAGGAATCTCAGCTCAAGCATCCAGGACAGATGGCCATCCAACCTCTGCTTCGAAACCTCTGAGGAAGGAGAGTCCACCACCTACAGAGGGAGACTGTTGCACAGGTGAAGGAAGAGCTCTTGCTGTCAGAAAGTTGAAAGAAATAAAAAAGTTGTCCAGTAGCACCTTAGAGACCAACTAAGTTTCTTCTGGGTATAAGCTTTCGTGTGCATGCACACTTCTTCAGATACGAAAGCTTATATCTAGAACAAACTAATTTGGTCTCTAAGGTGCTTCTGGACAATTTTTTTATTTATTTCGATTGCGTCAGACCAACATGGCTTCCTACCTGTCAGAAAGTTCTTCCTGATGTTTAGTTGAAATTTTCTTTCTTGTAACTTGAAGCCATGGGTTCGAGTCCTACCCTCCGGAGCAGCAGAAAACAAGCTTGCTCCCTCTTCCATGTGACAGCTCTTGAGAGATTTGAAGATGCCTCTCAGTTTCTACATCACCTTGGTTGCCCTCCTCTGCACACCTTCCAACTTGTCAACCTCCATCTTAAATTGTGGTGCCCAGACCTGGACACAGTATTCCAGGTGTGGCCTCACCCCGCAGAATGGGGGTGACTGTTAGTTTTCCTTGATCTAACCTCCTGAAAAACAGGCCTCTGTGCCTTCCTTGCTGACCTGGACTCTGAATGTTCCCACTGGAGATGGGAAGAAGTTTCTGAAGCACCCTTCTGCAGATCCAGGGGATCCATAAAGAAGGCCTGCCCCTCTCACTCCCCTCTTCCAGCCAGGGCTCCCCAGGCAGCCTCTGCCCCTGAATGGGGGGTGTGCATATGCAGAAACTGGCTTGTTCCAGGGGAGCCTGGCTGGGGCAGAGCTGGACCAGGGTGTGCTGGTGCATGCGATGTGCAATTGGGGAGGTGGACAAGTCACCCAGCCAATCTTGCAGGGGGAGGCCAGAAGGGCCCCTTTTGATGCTGGATGGCGTGGAAGGATTAAGAACTCACGCTGGCCCAGCTGCATCTGGACAGGGGTCTTATCAGCTCTGCACGCCTGGTGATAACTCACCGCCCCCCAAGCCTGTGGCCTCAGGCCATTGTGTCTGCCCACTGGACAATGGGGCCGAGGGAGCCAAGGGAGGGGTCCCTGGTTTGCCCTCTCTGAGAGTCCACACGGCTCCTGCCAGGGGAGGGGATGCACATGGCCCAGGACAATGAGCAGTTCTTGGGGGGGGGGCAGCTGCTGAGAAGTCACATGCTGTGCTGCAGTCCCTTTTGTCTCCCCTTTGTGGGGTGGGTGGTTTCCCTCCTGATAAGATACAGGCCTGGGAGCCAGATAATGTTTTCCATGAGACAATGCTCACCCCCCTCTTGTCTTTGCCCTTTGCAGAGTCCAGTGGGGACTTCAGGCTGTTGGGATCCCGAGGCAGTGATCCTTGGTGGGGGGTCCCGGTGAGTTCACTGAGTCATGGCCCAGAAAAAAAAATAGGCAAGGAAGCAGCAGGGTGTTCCCCAATGCCCTGAGCAAGAGGAGAGGAGGAATAGATGATTCCCTGGAGTCCAGTGGGGTGAAAACAAATTGGGAGCTGGGGACAATCTAAGGAAAATACTTGATCAAATTCTCCTAACCCAAAGTTACCGGCAGAGTGTTGAATTTGGAGAAAGAGCTACACCTCTGTCTGTCTGTCAGCAGCCGGTTCCCCCATCAACTACTCCGCTATGGGGCAAGGGGCCCCCCAGCTCTGATATTTGCTCCACTGCAAGAGAAGCTGTCTCTGCATCAGGGCAAGGCAGGCAAAGGGGAGGGATCCACCAGATCCTGGCAGATCCCTTGCGGCACTGTCATGCTCTGAAGGAGACATGGACCTGTGTGTTATCAATGAGTGAAGCATGAATGGCTACGGATTATTTTTAAAAAGGGGATTAAAAATGCACTTCACACCCCCCACCCCCCAATTGAGAATGAGACCTGCCTTGGATACAAGAGCCTCTGGGGCCCTGGAGGCTGTGGCAAGAGGGAGCCTCCTTGGAAGCCCAGGGCTTGAGGGCATTGGCTTCTTCCCTTTGCCATGGCTTCCTCTTCTGCCTCCCCCTCCCTCCCTCCAGCTGCTGCTTCTTTGGGCAGGGGTCTGCTGAGACACAGCAGGCAGTTCCTCAACCAAGCCCGGATCCTGATCTGAGAGCTGCTTAGGAGGAGCAATGGCAGAGCGTGTGTCTCTCGCCTGCTCCTGGATCAGTCTGTTGGCATGTGGCGCAGGAGGCCAGAAATGACAGTGGGC